TTTCGCAGAAACTGAAGATGAATAGTAAAACAGCTAAGAGTATGAATGAGCAACTAGCGGCCATCATTTGGCCTGGTGAATCTATTATTGTTCCGAGAGGCTGGGAAATACCCACAAGTGGGAAGAAGTTGAGGGTTGGAGTTCCTGTCAAAGGAGGGCTGGAGCAATTCATTAAAGTGGAAATAGATGCCAAAACACAAACAGTAACTGCAACTGGTTTCATTCCAGATGTCTTCAAAGAAGTCATCCAATCTTTGCCATACGCCATCCCTTACGATTTTATTCCATTTCCAATAGATAGCCCCACTTCTCAAGACTATGATGATCTTGTTTACAAGATCTCCTCAAAGGTAATATCCAATTCTTTTTTGAATTAACCTTTTTGGCTGAATACCTTACATGCTCCTTTCCGGGACTTCCATATCTACTTTCTTCTTTGACTGAGATCAACCATAAATACAAAAATAATCGTTGTTTGCTTGAACCAGGAATATGATGCAGTTGTAGGTGATGTGACCATTTTAGCGAGCCGAGCCAAGTATGTGGATTTCACATTACCTTTTTCAGAGTCCGGTATTTCTGCTGTTGTGTCGGTAAGGAATGATGATAGAAAAAATGCTTGGATTTTCTTGAAACCTCTAAAGAGCGAGCTTTGGATAACAACTGGAGGATTCTTCATCTTCATTGGTTTTGTGGTTTGGGTACTTGAACATCGTGTAAACAAAGAGTTTCGAGGACCCAAACACAAGCAAGTTGGGATGATATTCTGGTTTTCCTTCTCAACTCTCGTTTTTGCTCATAGTAAGTCTCTAACACAAAGCAAATTATATACAAAAAGCTTTAGGATTTATCGTTGTTTCTCAACAAATCATATATATGGCTGGTTGTTTCAGGAGAGAGGGTAACTAGTAACTTTACAAGATTTGTGCTGATTGTGTGGGTTTTCGTGGTTCTGGTGCTGACATCAAGTTATACTGCCAACTTAACATCTATGTTGACAGTGCAACAGCTCCAACCTTCTATAACTGACCTCAATGATCTCATCAAGAATGGAGAATATGTTGGGTACCAAGAAGGTTCCTTTGTCAAAGATGTCTTGAAGCATATGAACTTTGACAGTTCCAAGTTCAGAAGTTATAGCACATTGGAAGAGTATAGTAATGCCCTCTCAAGAGGAAGTAAAAATGGAGGTGTTGGTGCAATTGTTGATGAACTACCTTATCTCAGACTCTTCCTCAACAAGTATTGCAGGAAGTATATTATGGTCGGTCCAACATACAAGGCTGCTTGCTTTGGATTCGTAAGAATGTTGCACTCCAGTGATGTTTCAGAACGTGTTTACATTTGTTTAGAATGGTTTTTGTTCTACTCAATAATTTAATCTTTTATTTTCCCCCAACTTCTGGCAGGCATTTCCAAAAGGATCTCCTTTAGTACCTGACGTCTCAAGAGCAGTCTTGCAGGTGATGGAAGGAGAGTTTATGAATAACATAATACAGAAATGGTTTGGGAATGAAACAGATTGTCCAAAGCAAGATGGAATGGCTATAACATCTAGCCTCACACTGGATAGTTTTATGGGCCTTTTCCTCATAGCTGGTGTATCAGCAGGCTCCGCTCTTCTCCTATTCTTCCTCATCTTCCTTTATCAGAATAGAGAAATCTTAGCCACTGATGATTCAGTATGGCAAAAGCTTTCTGCAATAGCAAATGCCTTTGATAAAGAGAAAGACAACTCTAATTCTATGTCAGAAGAGCCATCTGAAGGCAATGAAATCCTAACAGCTATGCTGTTTGCAGAAAGTGAAGCTTCTACTGAAATATTGCCCCACCTTCCTTTGCAAAGCCCAGAAATCAGAATTTCCGACGGCTTAGGAGCATCCCCTGCACTTGAAGGGTTCTCTACAACAGAATCTGGAACTCCAGTTCATGAAAACATTACAGGGACAACTTAAGAGAGATAAACCAGGTTTAAAATAGTTAAACCATATTATATTTGCATTAAGAGGCGTCTCTAGTATATAGAATTTATGGGTTTAACCTTCAACATCTTACAATTGAATTCCTTGCACTTTTGTAATATGCATTCAAAATTAAATATTTATTGAATTACTAATTTTCCGCATATATTTGCGTTCCATGTCAAAATTAAACTTCCGCACCAATTTAAGAAGCCCTTTGAGTTATCAGAAAGGATCAGATGCAATTATGAAATTCTGGAAGACAAATTTCTACCTATGAAATATTTGAGAAGGGAGTCATTATTATCTTCTCTAGCTTAACATTAACTCTATTACAAGTCTGGTCGATTAGGACTATCATCTGCAAATAGCATACACCATATAGTATTTTTAGAAATCATAATTACCTAACATAAGTTTTCTAAGTAATATGTCCACCCCTAGGTATATATGATCATAGCAGATAACTATTATTATCCACCCATAGTCATGGATAATAAATAATGAAAGATTATAGGACCAGCATTGCATGTTAGACAACTTCAACATCATATACGTAACTTCTCAAGCAGCTTCCTCTTGCATTAACAATTACTTCCCCTTCGTTTTAAAAAGAATGACCTACTTTTCTGTTTAAAAAAAATGACCCTTCTTTTTTTGGCAACACTTTAATTTCAGTTTTTCACGTGACATGTTTAAAGTTATAAGATTAAAAAACATTTTAGTATATTTAACATAACTTTAATTTAAGACCACAAGATTGAAAAGTCATGTTTATTTTCTTTAACTCCTTATCAAATTAAACTAGGTTACTACTACTGACCAATTTATCATATTCATATATTACTAAAAGTGGGAAGCTCCAACCTTTAAAGTTGAATTACCATTTTACCCCTTCATTATATTAAAATGTTACAAATTATTTAATTAAGTAATTAGTAAAATTAAAATTATAATTCACCCAAGGCTTAATTACATGTTCTAGGTTCAAAAACAAAATTCTGCATGTTTAGATAAACAAAATGTCACAACATTTTAAATTCTTGGCTACGTTAATTTAGAAACAATTAATATTTAAAGGAAGCTGCTTTTTTAAAATGTTAGTCATATTAAATGTTAATAATAGCTAAAATAATAATTTCTCATTTTACAAGCTTTTCAAAATTAATTTTATACATTTTCGGAATGATTATAAATAATTAAAAATAAATAATAGGTATATCATTTAATAAGATAATTACTATAAAAACTTGCAGTGGCTTATGACTTTATATGATTTTCTATAGCACTAATATTATAAGTTCAAAATTACTTTAAAGAGATAAAAGTAATTTCAGAAAGAGTCTTTTTCACTATCACATTAACTACACATACGTACAATGTATGTTATTTATTTATGTCATTTATTAAATTAATAAAATTATATTATCTTGAGCTCGTTATAAAATTTTTGCAGAAATTGAAGAGTTATTTTTCATTATTCAATACAGATTATTATATTTGTCAATTTCCTCCATATATCAGTTCACACTTTTGCATTACTCTTCTTTTACTCAACATACTTCCTTATTCATAGTTAGGTAAATATATTCTAGTGATTTTTTCTACTCTTCCTCTTATTACAATTTTACATTTTTCATTCCAATTTATTGATACGATTTTTCCTAATTTTGTCTTTCCTTTTTTTAATAGAAATTGTGTGCAATCCATATTATAATGCAAAAAGAAAAATTGACTTTATAGTGTTTAAAAAACTATAGATATAATTGTTGTTATGCATTTCAAGTTTTCTTTATATATACACGGTTGAATGTTAATGTATGGATTGAAAGTTTCTCAATGAATTGCAGGGATTATTGCGAGGTATGATTGATTAAACTCATTAGAAATACATATTCTTATTATGCTTATAGTTTGAAATTTGAGGGTATCTGTTTTGATTTCTTATCTTATACATGTTTTCCAATTTATATCACAATCAATTTTTTTTAATACATATATTTATAACTATAGGCATATATATGCAACCATATAATATCGGATATACGTGCAACACACGTGTCCAAAGACTAGTAACTGAAAACGCGTAAACTAAAGATTACTAGTCGTATCTAGCCTTGTCCAAGTTGGAAAACAATGGTCTCTTCTACTTATTGGTTTAATTGTGGAATTTGTAACTGAGCTAAATTTGTCAACTTTCTATGCCTCAGCCAAAATTTGGGAAGTCCTTTCAATACAGAAAAACTACATCATTAGACATACTTCACTATCATATATACTATTATATTCTATACTTTTAAAATATTTCGTATACTATCACTAATTAAGAGTTTCATATCATATATTGAGGAAAATACATTTGGCTTACATGTATTTTTGCCATCAGATACACAAAAATAGGGAGATAGGGGAACGAGATGAGGAAAGAGGCAAGCGGGATTTGTTATGTATCCCAGATACATGCGAATCACACTATATACACATAAGATACATTTATGTGTATGTATCTGGTGTGATTCACATGTATACATAGGAGAGTGAGAGATGGGAGAGAGGCGAGCGAGATTTGTTATGTAACCCAGATACATGCAAAGTCACTTAGATACAATGCTTCTAGAGCAAATTACACCTAATTTTGATCCTAAGTAACCTCAGATATATGTAAATGTATCTAGACATACCAAAATCTGGTAAAATACGTAATATTACAAACTATAATGTTTTTAAGTAATTAACTCCTAAATTAGTTGAATTAATGTAAGTTCCCTTCAATATATCCTCTAGATAGTACACACAAAAAGTTATTGGGTATTGGGGGAATGAGTACCAATCAATTTTGTCAATTTTTTATTTAGTCAAAACTGAGGGGTAGTATGCTTACTAGCTGTGCGGTTGTAGCATATGTGAAAAGTCCTCACTTTCAATAATCAAACGAATACTTGATTTTCAACCATTTGTTCTTTGACTTTTCTTTCTGCATTTATGGAGTTTGGTCTTATTAATTATAGGAAAATTTATCATTCTGAATGTGTGGTTATCTTGCACAAGCACAACTGCTTGTTGCCCAACTCTCAGACTACTTGCTACCAGAGTTATTTCAAATGCATAATCCAAGATGCCACTTTCTAATTCTTTTCATTCAACTTATCTCCATCATTAGCTTTTACCACTATGTAATTCCAATAAGAGGTGAAGATAATAACACTAGTGCTGTAAAGGTGGATGTGGGTATAATTCTTGATCTGGAAACAGATGTGGGAAAAGTAATGCACATATCTGTCTTACTAGCACTTGAAGATTATCATGCCAACGCTAGTCGCGGTGCCATAAGGATAGTTCCTCATATCAAGGATTCCAAGAAAGATGATGTTGAAGCAACATCTGCTGGTAAATTCAGTTCCATGATTTACTTCTGTTAAACTAGCATGCATAACTTACTTTGGGTAAATTCTTATGGTCTGACTATGTATGTGCAGCCATATACTTGCTAAAGGATGTCCAAGTGCAAGCTATCTTTGGGCCACAAATGTCTACACAAACTGATTTTGTGATCGACTTAGGGAACAGAGTAAAAGTCCCTATAATTTCTCCAGCAACAAGTCCTTTACTTACAGTCAAGGAAAATCCCTACTTCATCAGAGCAGCACTTCCTTCTTCAAGCCAGACTAAGGCCATTGCAGCACTTGTTAAAAACTTTGATTGGAGGGAGGTTGTGGTAATCTATGAGGATAGCCCCTATGGGTTCGGGATAGTTCCACATTTGACTGATGCCTTACTGGAAATCAGCAGTTTAGTTTCCTATAGAAGTGTTCTCTCTCCGTCAGCCAATGATGATCAAATTCTCAAGGAGTTATACAATTTGAATACAAAGCAGACCAGGGTGTTTGTCGTGCACTTGCGACCATATCTTGCCTCCCGCCTTTTTCTCAAGGCTAAAGAAGCAGGGATGATGAGCAGTGGATATGCATGGATCATGACAGATGTGCTAACGAGTATTCTGGACTTGGTAGATCATTCAGTCATTGAGTCATCAATGCAAGGTGTTCTGGGTATAAAACCTTACATTCCAAGATCAAATCAGCTTAACAATTACACGAAGAGATGGAGAAAGAGATTCCGTCAAGAGTATCCAGACATGGACCAAATAGAACTCAATGCTTTCGGGCTATGGGCATACGATGGCATCACCTTATTAGCAGAAGCAGTAGGGAAATTGGGCACTACTGCTATCCCAAAATTAAAGAAACCAGACACTAGAGAGAACTTAACAGACTTAGACGCACTTGGAACGTCAGAAGTGGGATCTCAGCTCATTGACTCTATGCGAAACACAGTGCTAAAACAAGGATTAAGTGGTGATTACCGTATCATCGATGGAGAACTGCAGCCATTCCCATATCAGATTGTGAATATAATTGGGAAAGGAGAGAAAAGCATTGGATTTTGGACGGAGAAGGATGACATTTCGTGTAAACTGAAGAATGGTAAAACAGCAGCTAAGTGTAATAATAAGCAACTAGGAGCCATTTTTTGGCCAGGTGATTCAACTATTGTTCCAAGAGGCTGGGAAATGCCCACAAGTGGGAAGAAGTTAAGGATTGGAGTTCCTCTCAAAGGAGGGCTGGAGCAACTCATTAAAGTGGAAAGAGATTCAAAAACACAAGCAGTAACAGCAACTGGTTTCTGTGCAGATGTCTTCAAAGAAGTCATCCTATCTTTGCCATATGCTCTCCCTTACGAATTTATTCCATTTCCAATACAAGATCCCCTCACTCTTCCAGACTATGATGATCTTGTTCACAAGATCACTTCTCAGGTAATATATAATCTCTGTTCCAATAAACCTCTTTGGCTCTATATCTTACTAACATGGTCCTTTTTGGGACTTCGATATCTATTTTCTGCTATTACAATCAACTATTTATACTGGAATACAAGATCACTTCTCAGGTAATATATAATCTCTGTTCCAATAAACCTCTTTGGCTCTATATCTTACTAACATGGTCCTTTTTGGGACTTCCATATCTATTTTCTGCTATTACAATCAACTATTTATACTGGAATAATCAATGTTTGCTTGAACCAGGACTATGATGCAGTTGTAGGTGATGTGACCATTTTAGCGAGCCGGTCAGAGTATGTGGATTTCACATTACCTTTTATAGAGTCAGGTATTTCTGTAGTTGTGCCGGTAAGGGATGATGATAGGAGGGATGCTTGGATTTTCTTGAAACCTCTAAAGAGCGAGCTTTGGATAACAACCGGAGCATTCTTCGTTTTCATTGGTTTTGTGGTTTGGGTACTAGAACATCGTGTAAACAAAGAGTTCCAAGGACCCAAATGCAAGCAAGTTGGGATGATATTTTGGTTTTCCTTCTCAACTCTCGTTTTTGCTCATAGTAAGACACTAACTCAAAGCATATTATTATATACGAAAGATATAGGATTTTTCCTTGTGTCTCAACAAATCATATATATGGCTGGTTGTTGCAGGAGAGAGGGTAACAAGTAACTTAACAAGATTTGTGCTGATAGTGTGGGTTTTTGTGGTTCTGGTGCTGACATCAAGTTATACAGCCAGCTTAACATCTATGTTAACAGTGCAACAGCTTCAACCTACTATAACAGACCTCAATGATCTCATCAAGAATGGAGAATATGTCGGGTACCAAGAAGGTTCCTTTGTCAAAGACGTCTTCATAAAGCGCATGAAATTTGACAGCTCCAAGTTCAGAAGTTATATCACATTGGAAGATTATGATGATGCCCTCTCAAGAGGAAGCAAAAATGGAGGTGTAGGTGCAATTGTTGATGAACTACCTTATCTCAGACTCTTCCTCAACAAGTACTGCAGGAAGTATATTATGGTCGGCCGGACATACAAGGCTGCCGGCTTTGGGTTTGTAAGATTGTACACTCCACTGATGTTTCAGACACTGCTAACATATATATTTAGAATGATTTGTTGCTTACTCAATCATCTAATCTTTTATTGCAGGCATTTCCAAAAGGATCTCCTTTGGTACCTGACGTCTCGAGAGCAGTCTTGAAGGTGATGGAAGGAGAGTTTATGAATAACGTAATACAGAAATGGTTTGGGAATGAAACAGGTTGTCCACAGAAAGATGAAACGGCTATAACATCTGATAGCCTCACGTTAGATAGTTTTAAGGGACTTTTCCTCATAGCTGGTGTATCAGCAGGCTCCGCTCTTCTCCTATTCTTCCTCAACTTCCTTAATCAGAATAGAGAAATCTTAGCCACTGATGATTCAATATGGCAAAAGCTTACAGCAATTGCAAAAGTCTTTGATGAAGAGAAAGACAACTCTAATTCTATGTCAGAAAAGCCATCTGAAAGCAATGGAAGCAATGCACCTAAACTGCTCGCAGCAAGTGAAGCTTCTCCTGAGATATTGCCTGACCTTCCTTTGCAAATCCCAGAAATCAGAATTTCCGACGGACTAGGAGCATCCCCTGCTGCTGAAGGGTTCTCTACAACAGAACCTGGAACTCCAGTTCATGAAACCATTACAGACACAATTGAAGAAATATGACACATATAGCTACTACCATAATTGTGACACACCTGAATAGGGCCCTATATGAGATTGCACAGAGATGAGCTAGCTTTAGGGTTAGTTAAACCAGATTACATTATATCTTTGTTACTGATCTTGGCCAGAATATTAGCATCAAGAGGTGGCTCCAGGATTCCATTTGATGGATTTAACCCTTACTTTTTCTTAGTGGTTTCTTTTTCAATCTTATTATTACATACTCATAGAATTCTATGTATGCGTCCACTAACAGTCAATGGACCAGGTCCCTTGACATAAAAATTGTGCGGAAAATAAATAACTCAAAGTAAAACAAATACAAGAGTTTTACGTGGAAAGCCCCTTACTCAAGGAAGGAAAAAACCAAGGTTTGTCTCACAGGATTTAACCCAACTCCATTATCATCAAAAGAGCAAAACTTCAGATTACAAACTCTTGTAACCTAGGAATTGAACACTTAATCCCTTCCCCTCATAGTAACAACTCTATTACTCAAAAACTAAGCAATAACTCTATTTCCCATTAAACCAACTAGCTCTAGTCGACCTAGAATTCAAGAATACAACATAATTAACTCTAGCTATAACTCGGAATACTCAGAAAAAACTTCAAATGATCTGATTCCTTTATAACTTGGGAATAGATCTTACAAGTATAAGCACAAAAATATAAACCCTAAGAACGATTATAACTCTATCAGGTCCCTTGTTGTTTATTGAGAAATATTTCCATGAGAGAATGACTTTTGCTGTTGTGAATTTTTATATTGCAAAAACTTGAGTTTGTGTCAATGTCGAAAAGGTGTATTATAGGATGGACCCAAACTCTTGAAGCAATGCCATTGGCTGAATGTCTGCTGCAAAATATGCGCACCAACCACAGCAGGTGTTGCAGGTTGCAGCTTTTAGACCACTGCTTTTTCATGTACGGAACTCTCAGTCTCTCCTGGAATCTGGTCCCTCGTTAGATCCCAAAGTTTGTTAAATCATCAAAATTTTATAGACAATTTAAATAACAATTAGTACTTTGTTTTGTCTTCACTACTTATGTAGAGGATATAATTCAATGAAACCATATCATATATATTTCTTTCAATAAGTGCAAATAATGTTTGCAGAAACCAAAAATATTGCAAACTAGTGCTGTTAACAATTTAATACTAATGTTACCAATCTAAAAAACATTGCAAATTAAAAAGAAAAAAAAGTTTAAAAGATAATAGACAGGGTTATATGTTATTGTGATCATAGCAGAAAACGACCACAGTAAATAATCATAAATAATGGAAGATTATAGGATCACCTCAATTGCATGGAAAATAACTTCAACATCATACACGTAACTTCCCGAGCAGCTTCCTCTTGCATTAACAATTACTCTCTTCGTCCCATTTTATGTGACACCGTTTGACTTGACACGATATTAAAGAAAAAAAAAGACTTTTAAAACTTGTGATCTAAAACAATCCTTAGATATTTGTGTGTTTGTAAATAATTTCATTAAAGGTAACAACAAATTTTAAGTGATTGTTCTAGGGAAAAAACTCAAATATGTCATCGAGCTTTGAGAAAGGTTCATATATGTCATTCGTTAAAAAATTGGCTCATCTATGCCATTTTCATTTGAGAAAAACCTTATTATGCCATTGTTTGTTAATTGAAATAGCATAGATGAGACAAACTTTTAACGGATGACATAAATGAGTCTTTTCTTAATAATCGATGATATATTTGAACCTTTTCCCTTTTAAAGAAACTAGTTTCTGGGTACGTGCATCGCGCGTGTTGCCAAGTGTACCCATTACTATAAACTTATAGTATATGACAATCGTGCACCACATAAGTCCTTAGACATCTTATTATAATGTTTGACTTGTAAATGTTAAGTATTTATAGCATTTATATTGCACTAAAAAGTATAAATGATGGTGGATATAAATAAGAAGATTTTTCACCAATTAGTGTTACACAGATAATTGTTTGAGTAAGAGTGTTTGTTTGAAAATTAAAATAGTTATCTAAGTTTATATGGATCATTGATAATGAACTTTATACTTTTAGATCTCCTTATTATTAATTAAAGAGGCAATATACTAATTCATGAGATAATGAACTAATTATAAATGCATGTATAGTCATTCAACATATCTGCCAAATATTTCATATTATCCGTGTAAAACACGAGGAAAGGCTCAAAATAGTCTCTCATCTTTGGGTTAAGGCTCAAAGTCATCCTTGAGTTTTCACATAGAACACTAATAGTCCCTCATTTTGCAATATTGGTGCACTTTTGGTCCTCCTCAAAAAATTTGCCTATTTTTTAACATTATTTTGTCCACAATTTTATGTAAGGAATATCCAATCGTCTTTTTATATATTTAGTAGAAATAATAACTCTATGTGAGAGAAGGTGATAAGAAGAACACATTGTTCTGTTCAGTAGAAATATTACTACAGCTAAACTAATTAAGAACATCTTAACATATGACGTTAGAAGAAAAGAAAAAAAATTGTACTATTGCACATGAAATTATCTTGATGAACCTCTCGACTTTACCTGCAATACAATTTCTACTTAACAAAACAAGATGTTTTTCTTCTCACATCCTCTCATATGGAGTTATTATTTCTACTAAATATATAAAATGATGATTGAACATATCATACATAAGTTATGGATAAAATTAGTTAAAAAATAGGCAAAATTTTGGAGGAGGACCAAAAGTGCATCAATATTGCAAACATGAGGGACTATTAGTGCTCCATGTGAAAACTCAAGGATGACTTTGAGCCTTAACCCAAAGATGAGAGACTATTTTGAGCCTTTCCTCTGTAAAACACAAATGATTTGGCATATAATAAAATATCTAATCTTTCATTGAGATAATTTTTAATTTCATTTGGAAATAAGAAATATAATATTGTACATGTTCCACGCCAATAATTATATAAAGTCTAAATAAGTAATATATATTTAATTGTAATCTAGACACAATTTTTCTTATATAAGCAGAGAACATATTTAACTAAAAAGGAATAAGAAAAGAATACATAATAAAAAAACATTTAAAACTAATACAAAAATCACTTACAAATGGTCATCACTATAAGCACTTTACATAAAGTAGTACAAATAATTCATTATTTTGTTGTTATTCATACAACATGATAAAAAAAAAATATTATTTCCTTCCAAACATTCTTTACAATTAATCAATCAATCATTCATAACTTCTTCGATCCAAATACAACAATAATGTTATTACCCTTAAAAATTATACAAAGATTGATGACAACTTTTCTTCTGCGGTCTATGACTATGACCAGAAAGGAAATAAAAAAAGAAGAAGAAAGAAATGATATACCAAAGATGAGAAAATGAATCTTAATTATAAGAGATAATTGACATTAACATACTTTAGTAAGAAGATCATATATGGGATTTGTAAGTTCATTTCCCTATCTAGGTGACTTTAAATAGGAAAACCTTAGGTGAGGGAGATGAAAGGGAAAAAAAATAAAAGAGGCTCATCAGTTTCCTACTTAATTATGTAACCTTTGGTCTTCACCTGTAATTCATTGAACAATATAATTAGGAGTCTTTTTGTCTTCTTGATAATACTTATTTATAACAATATAAATAAATTGTAACCGAAAGTATTTGATAAATTTGATATTGGCTTAATGTGTAACTCCCTTGTAGTAATTAAAATTTACTATTTAATATTTAATTAACAATTTATTAGATGATTATCAGTATTTGTATTTAATATAGGGATAAAATGGTAGTCTAATTTTTGCCTAACATTCTTCCCACTTTTAGTATAATATGATATGATGAAATGATTTATGATATATGATTATTAATTTCTTATTATATACCTATAGATTATAGATGATAAGTATTATTAAATTAGAAATTTAAATTAGGAATTAGCAAAAGTCATTAACATGTTAATTAAAATGAAACAATTTAATATCTAAATTAAATAGTTAAATGTTTTATAACATGATAGTAGGGGTAAAGTCGTAATTCAACTTTTAATTTTTTTGTTATAGATGATAAGTATTATTAAATTAGATATTTTAATTAGGAATTAATCTAAGGAAGCGCAAAAGTCATTAACATGTTAATTAAAATGAAACAATTTAATATCTAAATTAAATAGTTAAATGTTTTATAACATGATAGTAGGGGTAAAACCGTAAATCAACTTTTAACTTTTTTTTGTTCCCACTTATAGTAAATATGATATATGATGATTTAATTGATGACATGGTCGAATCATAATTGACCACGTGTATAAAATAATTTTACAAAGCCAAAATTATTTTTAGTTAACAATTAGTGGCATGGATGAGTCTTTTCTCAAATGAAAATGATATAGATGAACCAAACTTTTAACGAATGACATAGATAAGACTTTTCTCAAATTTCAATAGCATATTTGAGTCTTTTCCGTTGTTTCTAATTATAGTAAGATGACATTGTTTTTTAAAACAAACTAAAAAAAAAAAAAGATGCCACGTAAATTGAGACGGAAAGAGTATATATATATATATGTATGTATGTATATTGAGACAATGACATTGACACCTACATATATACCCAACCATCCTCATTCCAAGATTCAATCTCCATGTTGGGTGTGTTTACTTTGTTTGGTTTTGCAACTTGCAAGCAAGCTAATACGAAAAATTTTATGGCAGTAGAGGCATAAATAAGACTTGGTAGGTAAGGCATTACTTTTTGATTAAGAAAATATGGGACCCTACATTTCTTATGTTCTATCTTTCTTCTCTTCTTTACAGAGGCGGATTTAGGATTTGGAGGTCTTGGGTGCTACATCGTTCAAGTAAGATAAACGGGTCGGTTGCTTTAATTTTGGGTTACAATTCGGATTATTATCTTTTTTCATTTTTATAAACAAATCGATCAAACATGCATGTTGGGAATTAAAGGCCTTATTCACTTAGACTTTGAGGAAAAATGATTTTTTTTTTTCAAATTAAAATTCGAGCTTGTATAAACCATCTTATAGTGTTAACTTAATATATTCATATTCCATTGACTTTATTTGTTGTTGCAAATATATTGTAGAGAGAATAAAATTGTAGTTTCAACCTAGTCATCTTACTAATTAGTAAGAATGTCGGTGAGGATCGAAAGAACTTTTAAATTGAAAGAACTCTAGTAATAATATTCATCATTTTTAAA